ATGTATATATGATGTCTTACCGCCCCGGGCTAGGAACAGAGATGATGACCTGAGAAAGTGAGAAGAATACAAGTAAGCCTACAGGAAACATGTTTGTAAAGCTTCCAGGTAGTTAATGACTGAGCTCCTCCTCGTTTCGCCGTCGACTTATATATGACTTCCAACAAAAGACGTATGTTTACAGTCACAACAATGCAGAAACTAATGCCTTTTAGTGAGAGCATTTTTTTAATATATCTATTTGTGTTTTGAAAATATAACTTCAAATTTTAGCATTACGACTATATTATATGGCTAGTCATAAAATTAGGCGATATTTATTTTTGCCTGAGCTGAAATCTGAAATATTGAATAATAATAATAATAATAATAATAATAATAATAATAATATAGGCCTTATAATAATTATGATATTGATAAAAATAAAAGTAATAGTAATATTACAACAAAAGTAATGTAATAATATTAATAATAATAATAATAATATTAATAACGAAGGCATAGACCTATATTCTTTATAATTGTTTGTTAATTGATAATAAGAATCAGTTACAATAAGATTACAATAATATATACCAATACTTTACAATGCAAATACATTTCATTTATAATTTGAAATCAGCAGATGTAATTAAAACAACCATAGTTTCATATGTAACCAATATCATTTCATGATGCAATGTTGTTAATTACCAAATATTCTTTCCTTTTTAGTATCGAGCTTTCTATTGGATGGATCAGCATGAATAGAATAACGATTTAGAATTAAGGGTGCATGTTTTGGTATAGATTAAAATCCTATATAAAAAGTACACTAAAACAAAGAAAAAGAAATCCATATTGGTTAAGAGTCAAAATTTACAAGATTGATTTATTGGTTAACATGCAGTAGACCTATACTATTCTTCTAAGGGTTCAGGAGAGAACATTCTGGTTTATTGCTCAAAAGGTCTCAAAAATAAAGTTTAATGACTTTTCCTTATTTTGATACTGCTTTAATTGTTGTAATACAATGATAAAAATTAAATGTCTCCTCAACAGGGGTTATCTGACCATTTGGCACACACAGAAAGTGTATCCGTCCTCTTGATGATGATGGTTATTATTATTATTATTACTATTATTATTATTATTTTTTTTATTATTATTATTATTTATTATTATTATTATTATTTTTATTATTATTATTATTATTACTATTATTATTATTACTATTCTTTTATCATTATATGTCCAAGTTCTCTCTAGAAAGAGAAATAATTGTTCTAATTGTAATTTTTAATTAATATACGATATGTATTTGTATACAATATAAATATTTTATTGTTTATAATAACTGTTAGTGAGTGACATGCCTCCGTTTGTTTGCTTTTTATATTAGCATCATTTCCTTGTTTATATTGCAACTTATTTGCTCTGTGAATAGGACCTAATATTATATGAGCGTAAAAGAGATTCGTTCTGTATTGAAGTAATTGGGCCAGAGCACCTATATTGATGTTGGTCTTGTGCCAAGAATAATAAAGGTGAATAGGTAGATCGAAGAGTAAGGTAGGGTGATTTCCTCCTTGGGTGATGCTTGATGATGCGTAATGATGCTTCTGTTTGTTTGTTGTGTATTTTAGGGTTATTTCCTTGTTTATTTTATGTTGCGATGTGTATTCTAAAAGGCGATTTACAAACAAATCTGAGCGTCTAGCTACATTTGAATATTATTTTATTATTATGCAATTATTGTAGTAGTGTGGTTTTTTCCCCTACCTAATGTGTTATCTAACCGAATCAGCCGAGGCTGATGGGAAATTATGCTAAATTATGCCAAATGGTAAATTTCGAATAAGCGCCCTTCCCCCAAATGTTCAATTTTGAATAAGCGCCCCTGCATAAGCTCCAAATGTTCAACTTCGACAATTTCGAATAAGCGCCCACCCCGCCCCCAATTTCGAATAAGCTTAATGCAAAAAAAACCAATTTTCAATACC